TGAGTTGTGGGCGCACCCGCATAGGCTATTCCAATACTTTGTTCAGCGCGTGCACTGGCGTCCAGGCTCACAGTGCGTGGCTGCCATCCTTACAGTCGTGCGTTGCGATTTTGCATTGTGGAGTGCGCCAATGGCACATTCAGAGCGTGCTCGACGCTCAAACGTGGGTTGATGGGCAACACGGCGCACCTTGTGCATCATGAACATATATAGGTGTTATGTTGTAGCCATGGAGATGTACTGCGAGTATATCTAAGCAATGCCTTTTTGCTTCCTTGATGTGCATGCCTGGACACTGTGCTCGCACCGTGGACACCCAGGCGGAAACAGTCACACAGTTGCACTTGATTGCCAGCAGCAGCGCGTGAATGAAGCCCATCGGTGCAGAAATGGGCTGTTTACCATCAACAAACCACGGGACGACTGGCTGTGTGCCACTGGCGGGGGCCAGCATGCAGGGATTGTGTGGGGATGTGGGGTTCTCAATTGCATGACATAAGAGTGCTCGCCCTTGAGGAAAATCCACGCAACCCAACTTCGAATTCGTCTTTGTCTTTGTTGAGACCAAACTCTGGTATGGCGTGGGGCCAGAACTGTCCAAAAATTCTTGGATTTTGTATACTTTCACAGTACTTCCAATTTCTGGTCTGGAATCAGACGGGTCCACTGCGAAATCTGCTACGCTCGTCCGTTCCTTGCAAAACTCGTAAGGGCGTCGAATGAACTAGGTTGAGCTCTGTCCGTATATTGAAGGGGAAACTACAGGCGGGCGCAAACGGCGCCTCCCAAGAAAACAAATATTGAACTCCAGTAGTCGCTGTTGTCGGCAGAGCTTGGTGCAATGTTAGCCCCTGCTGGGCGGTAGCTGCAGGGCTGATAGAAAGGGCGCGTTGTTCGAGTTACTGCAAAGTGGACTGTAATGAGCAGCCATGTTCGCTTCTGATGGTACTCGTCTTGATGCACTAAGCACCATGACCTATGACCCCACTGAATGGGATGGCCCGAGTATGGTACCATCTCAGTCATAAAAAGGGCACTTTTCTGCCAGTGCCGTGCAGGAGTTGAATACTTCAGTGCGGATGCATGAGAGGCACAGGAAAATACTGCAAAATCCGCAGAATACTGCAGTGGGCAGAAAACGAACTTGTGTTCGGTTTCGACATCGATGCCCTTACCGAGGGCCAGGTAGACGCTATGTTGCGTATGCACAAGCACCAGTAAAAAAAAGGTCAGATGACACAGTCCTGACACAGTCTATTCAAAATCCAACTGTACTTTCGGCAAATGTGGTCCCAAAAGTGCACAATTAATACACATATTGACACAATTTTAACTATGCATCCTAGGAAACCGTGTATTATACACACTTGCTTGAGGGTACACGGTTGAAAATGTATCAATGTGTGTACAAACTGTGTATTTTTGGGACCACATTTGCCGAAAGTACACAATTGGACTTTGAGCAGACTGTGTCAGGATTGTGTCATCTGGCCTGTTTTTTCCTAGTGGAGGAATGGAGATCATTGTGCATGACTTTCATCGTGTAACCTAGCTGTCCCAAGGAGCTGCGAAAACGAAAATACAGCCCTAAAAATGGCCCCTTCTGCGAATTTATGTTTTCACTCGAAAAAATGTAAACTTAAATACGTAAACATGAATGTAAATAACAAGCCTGCAGTTGGGGACGTTGACGTGTTTTGGAGATGCGACTTATCCGCGCGTCGAGTCAACACAAACTTTCATGATAAAGTGTTTCAATATATTTTGTATATTACTAAGTCTTGTACCACTTTCTCCACAAACAGTGAATCAAACGAGCATCCATGAAAGCAGATGCGTCTTGAATCCATACCTTCGCATGGAGCCTCCACAAACCTGTCATTTCGTACAACAAGAGCTTTCAGTACATTCAGTGTATTGCGAAGTCTTGTGCAACTTTCTACACAAACAATGAATCAAACGAGCATCCATGAAAGCAGATGCATCTTGAATCCATACCTTCGCATGGAGCCTCCACACACCTGTCATTTCGTACAACAAGAGCTCTCAATACATTCAGTGTATTGCGAAGTCTTGTGCAACTTTCTACACAAACAATGAATCAAACGAGCACCCATGAAAGCAGATGCATCTTGAATCCATACCTTCGAATGGAGCCTCCACAAACCTGTCATTTCGTACAACAAGAGCTCTCAGTACATTCAGTGTATTGCGAAGTCTTGTGCAACTTTCTACACAAACAATGAATCAAACGAGCATCCATGAAAGCAGATGCGTCTTGAATCCATACCTTCGAATGGAGCCTCCACAAACCTGTCATTTCGTACAGCAAGAGCTCGTCCAAAAAAAGTTGCACATTCTGGATATGCACATACGGGATATGGACGTGTTCCTGGATATCGGCGCCCATGTCATATTCGATATCCTGAATATGGGGTCCCCTCATATCCTATTAATAGGATATCACCAAGTAGTGATGCCACTGTATTGTGATGATGCCACTGTAGTGATACAATAGGAGTCCCTATATAGCGCCCCCCCGTGGCATGGCCAAAAGGGGGGCGCTATTGGGGGCCGGGGGCGCTATTGTGTCAATGGGATACCCTGAGCAACCGTTGTAAAGGGTACTCTGGCCGCCAGTGTAGGGATTACCCTAAACTGCCGGTGTAGGGGGTATCATGGCCGCCGGTGTAAGGGGTATCATAGCCGCCAGTGTAAGGGTACCCACTACCGGCGGCCAGAGTACACCCTATACTGGCAGCTAGGGTACCCCCAACTGCCGGTGTACGGGGTACCTTGACCGTCAGTGTGGGGGGTACGCTACCCCCAGCCTACTGGGTCCATACCGGCTTTTGGGGCTAGCGACTGTTCCAGCGCCGAAGTCGCGGGCGCTGGGGCCTGTCGCAGTGAAACAAAGCACTACGGGAACGGTGACGAGCCGTAAAGGGAGTCGCTAAACTTAGGCCATGTCGCTAAATAGGGGTCGCTAAACCAGACCCCTGTACTAGTTTGAGGTCCCACTGCGCAACAAAGCTGCATAAAGTACTACATAAATGGTGACATGCCAAAAAAGGGGGCGCTGTTGGGGGCCGGGGGCGCTACTGGGGGGGCGCTATATAGGGACCCCTACTGTACCGATACAGTGCCAACTAATCAGTACGCTTAATGAGTATGGCTGCAGTCAGCGGTGGTCCCCGGAGGACGCCACCAACAGCGCTGCGGCCTATATGTGTCAGCTCTCGTCACGGTGTCACGGTCACACTCTTGGAGCGGAAGTGCGAAATCACGGCTCACAGCAGGCCGCGGGCCGGATGCCCGACTCCGCTTGCATGATTTCCTCAACCCGCGTCACACTCTTGAACGAGAACCTTAAAAGCGCGGCGCGGACACAGACCACACAGCGACCTGTAGATCTGTGCCGTCCGATCGTGTCCGCAGACGCACGCCGCGCTCGTGCCCTCGCTACCCGACTCAACAGCACCGACGCCACCGGAGAGAGCGGCGGCGCGTCTGTTCCCCGGTTGCGCCTGCGGCGCCGCAGTTTGGGCCAAGTGAGTAAGCCACAGCCTGGGCACGGCGATTTCTGCCGCTCGCTCGTGAAAAATGCACGTGCAGCGCACGCGGCGGCGCAATTTAGGTCAAGTGAGCAGGCCCCCGCGTCGGGCGCGGCGATTTTCTGCCGCCTGCTCATGGAGCGTGCGCGCGCAGACCGCCCCGGGGGGGTCTGCCTCCCGCGCGTGAAGCGCGAACGTGCAACTGCCGTCTGGGTCAAGTGAGTAATCCCCACGGCGGCGCACCGAATTCGGCCGCGGCTCGCGAAACACACCCGTGCGTGTTGGAGCCGACTGCGGCGCGTCGCCGGGAGCGTGCCTTGCCCCGCGCCCCGCTGCTTCCCCTCCCCGCCGTGTTGGATTGGACACTCCGCGACGTGGCATGTATGCGTTCGCGGCTCGCAGCCTCGCAGAACATCATGCATGGCGTGCTGCATGGAAGCACGGCCGATTTGCCTTACAATTGCCGCCCAGACGGCCGGAACGCAAATTTGGCCTCGGAAGGGTCCCGCTCGCGCAGAGCCCCGAGTTTGTTGGCTCGCCGCCCCACCCATTCCGCAACGTTCCGGCGCCGTTTCGGTGCGGAATGCTATCTGGCCGGCTGCGCAATCGGGCGGTTCCAAAATCGCACAGGTTTGTGGGGCTCCGTGACCGCAGGGCGCCGCAAGTTTTGCCGCGTCCTTGGACGCTGTTATGTTCCATCGCGCCCTCCAACGTGGCGGCCAGGCTCGCCGCGACCAGCCCGCGGCGCGATGGGCTTTCGCTCCGCAGCCAGTGCTCGAAAAAGCTCGACCCAAATTCTTGCCATGGGGATGATCGCCGTGCTGCGCGGCGAGCGAGGGAACGACCCCATGTCAGCATTATTTCCGTTCTGCCGGGCCAACAGTACTAGTTCTAGCACATTAATACTGCGATTGCGCTGAAAATATTGGTCCTGGCTTACACGCGTTCAGATAAAAGTGTGTGCGAACAGAATTTTTGGCAGTGTAGGGACAGACACACTCCAGGAGCAGAAACATTCAATGCGAGCGACAAGGTCGCAAGCGTATGCGCATGTGTTTGCGTTCCCCTCGTTTTTAAGCCCAATTGAGTATTTCCACACGATGTCCCTGATACTTCTCCTGTGCTTCAGTACACGATCTCTTGAGTCACGGTGGCTGCAGGGATCTGATGATTTCCTTGCCATTTTACGCTGTGGTCTTTTTATTGATTGACTGATTCATCCATCCGTGGAAGAATTGATTGATTGATTGACTCGATTGCGCGGCTTCAACCGTCCCTAGACAGTGCCAACTTGGTGAACATGTTCTAACGAAAACATTGGTTGTTTGAAAAAATGCAGAGATTTAGTCGTTAAAGCTCTCTTGAAGTTCAGCCAACTGATGTCAGGGAAATGTTGCGACATTGTGCGTGTTTTCATGCTTGCCTCTTGCACCTGTAATGGCTCAGCACAACAGAAGGACGTCGCCACGATGATGAGACTACCGCCGTGCCGTCGATGGGTGATTGCAGTGGCGGTGGCGGTCTGCCTGTTGCACCAATGGATGCCTCATTCTGAATGCTTCGCGGTGAGCCACATGACTTTGATGCTGCGAATCGAAAAAATTGCGAACACTCATATGATCATGTTTTCGCGGCATTTTATTATTTCTCGGTGACAAGGTCACTTAAATTTGCTGCATTGTATTGCAACTATTCACCGCTATTCTTTTGCAGCTAAGCATTCTGGTATATTGGAGGACTAGGCTGTGCGAAAATGTCCGTGAATTTGCCATCTTCTTCAGCGCTTGGTTAGTTCAAAGAATGGACCGCCCAAGCCTGAAATTTCCTTTCGTGAGAGGAGCATATCAAAAAAGGAGGTGCCCCCGGCCGGTGATTGCACGGTGGAGTGTCTACGGAGCGCCGAAAACGAGCCGACCAAGAACACTGCCATTCATTTAAGTCTGCGTTAGCCTTCCTTAAAACACATGGCACACTTTCAGGCCACCAGGCCGTTGGCTGCCTGTCGGACTGCTGTGCTGGCAGTTGCTCAAGCAATACTGGTTTGCCAATCTTTCGTCTCTTGTGTGCTTGCAGTCTTCTTGAGGGTGGTGTGTTTGTGCTCATCAGGATGAATCCGAGGACATCAATCCTTGTGAGCGGTTCCCGTACTTGGTCTCTGTGCTTCGGAACGTCGACGGGACGCAAGTGCACGGCTGCAGCGGTGTGCTTGTGAACGAGCGATGGGCGATCACGGCGGCGCATTGCTTGGATGCGGCTGGCTCCAATCCGAGCATATTGTTTGGAGCATGTGACGGAGACTCTGGCAAGGCGAGTCACCGAAACCTGCCGCGAGCTGTTGCGAAAAAAAGGCAGACAGGATTCGGAGCACGCTGCCAAAACTGATTTGCAAGCTGCAGGAGTTTCTCAACTTCCTGATTGCAGGCGCCGACCGACAGACATATCTGCCGATTGTTACCCCTGGTTACTGCCCACACAGTATGCCGAGAGAATAACACTGAACACAAGATGCAGGTGAAATTGCAGCGGCAGTAATAAGCACTTTGGCCCGGTGTGGATCGCGATCGCCGGATGTGCTTGAAATTGCTTATCGCGACGAAGTAACACAAGGTATTTGAGTGCAAAGTGCTCACCAGCTCTTCTGGCTTTGGGGGCTCCCGCCTGACAAGCACCGGTCCCCTGTGTCCAGGTGGTGGCGACGAACTACGCCGCCGTCCACCCGCGATGGACCGGACTGCACTGGGAAGGCAACGACATCGCGTTGCTGCGTCTGGAGCACGGTGCACCGCAGCTTCCGGGGACTTTGCTCAACAGAAACGGGAACGAACTTTCTGGAGACGTCTACTACGCTTCCACTACGACTGCATGTGAGTCTACCGAATCAGATGAGGATGAGGGTCTGAGCGTCGTGCGGAGGGCGTCGGCGGCTGGGGCCACCGACCGGGAGACCTGCCGCGGCACCGGGGAGGAGCGCTGGGGAGACCTGATTCAATTTTCCATGACGTGCGTGACTGGAGGGGAGATATGCGATGGTGAGATTCTTCGCAAATGGACAGTACTTGTCAAAAGGCGTGGCTGCAAGTTTTGCCATCTTTTTCTTCTGAAGCAATCTTTTGTTGGCCCGATAGATTGCGGGCGCTGCTGGCTCAGACTGCAGTCACTGAGCTTCCAATTAGCGCATTGGCGAGTGAACGATTGAGCGATTGATGGAGTGATTTGTCGATTGAATGGCAGAGGGCGGACTGGGCGATGACTGGATGGACGGGCATATCGCTTTGATGCTAGTCTCATTTACTATCATTTGTAGAATGCTTTTCTCAAACTGAATTATGAGAGAGTGTGCAATGCGCTAGGTGACAGCGGGGGAGCTTTAACAAAACTTAGAATTGGGGAGGAGCCCTCCACTGACTTGATCACTGGACTAGCGAGCTTCCCGTACGACGAAGAGGGCTGCGCCAGTGCCTCCCAACCGCGGGCTTTCACTAAGCTTTTGGAGTACCTCGACTGGATGGCACAAGCCACTGAGGTGCGCACCGAGGGCATGCATACGCTGGCGGGAATGCAGCGCTGCCAGCAATGGGCGACGTGGCTTGCTGTATTGGTTGTTAGACCCCGTTTCTTGCCAATTCAATATAATTACAGAAAAACAGGGCCGAGTCATTTTAATGTTCAACCTGTCGAGTTGAAACCCAAGGGAACAATGTGGTTCTCAAGAATCTTGACCCTGAATTCCGCATCTCATTAATTTTGAGCTAATTTCAGTCAGAAGTTCAGGAAATCTTGCACTGGCAAACTGTCGCCCATTTTGAAGAATTTCCAAATGCGCCAGCGCGAGTTTGAATCATGTGTTTAGATGAAAATGTTGCAGTAGAGGACCTATTTTGGCTTTGCTTACCATTTTCGGGTGTTGCTTCCTGCTGGCATGTTTATTGCATTGCTGCATCGGACGTCAACCTTGCAAGTTGTCTAGCAAAATGGTGAAATTGTGAAATTGAGTTCCATTAAACTGATCTGCTTTCGTTTTTCCTTGTCTTACCACCACAGGAAGTGCTGGAGTCCTCGGAGAAAGAGGCAGTAGCACAGGTGAACATCTCCATGTTTGCCATATTCACTCAACAAACAGTGATTTTGGTTATTCTGGCTAACTGATTGAGGCACTTTTTTGGTTAATCGATTGTTCGGATAGTTTATATAACTGTTTCATATGCTTCAGCATACTTTGCCAGCTTCATTCTGCAGGCCTCCCTGAGATCACGTCCCCAATACCCGCAGGCAGTTGTACTTGAATGTTCATTTTCGCAGCGACGACGCAGCTACAACCTGGCAGATTCCAATGACTCGTAGCCTCGGAAGAAATCCGGTCTCAGGTGTTCATACTGGGAACCTTTGACCTTCCAATCGGAATTCTGGATCTCACGCGAGCATAACAATGATGTCACATTGATAAGCTACACGTAATGGAAGATGTTATTTGAGAATCTAATAGCATGAGAAAAAATTGCACGCAATTAATCTGTTGTAATGCGAAAGCCAAACAAGCCGAGCACCGGGTTAATGACGCACTTAACCAACACGCTTGGCAAATTCACACCAAATCATTTCACAGACGAAATCAAGCTGAAAACATTCTTCAGAACTGCAATTCGCAACTCGAACTTCATCACGTATTTAAATTTGAAAAACTCGTGCGGTTGCATATTTAAATTTTAAGATACTCATGCAGTTACATACTTAAGTTCTGAAATACTCATTCAATTACATGTCTAAGTTCTGAAAAAATCAATCAGATCTTTCAACAATGTTTCATTTTGTTACAGTTGCCCTCCGCAGCGTCTCGTGGAGACACGGACGCCGTCAAGGCGTCCCTGGATGCCGGGGCCACCATCGTGGCGCGGCCACTCGCCCCCGCCTTCTTCTCGGCCACGCGCGCGGGCCATATCCAAGTCCTCCAGCTGCTCTTGGATGCGGGCGCCGACCCCAGCGAAGGCATTCAGGGCGGCAGGGGACTCTCCTGGCCCCTGTCCAGCGCCGTTTCGGCCGGAGACGTGCAGATGGTGAAGTTTTTGTTGGGTGTGGGGGCCAGGGCTGGAGGATTCGACAGGTTGATTTACCGGGGAGGGCCCGGGGAGTCTCTCGTGAGCGACGCGTGTTGGAGGCAGGGGGACAACTACGACGAGGTGGTGAGGCTCCTGCTGGAGGCAGGGGCCTGCGGCAGCTGCGGGGATGCGGTTGGGCCCGAGTGCCCGGGCAGGGATTGATGGTGTGATCAGATCGTGCTAGGTGGACGCCTGGGGTGATTGGGGACGTGTCGGGGTGGCTGGGACAATGGAGCCCTCCATTGTCCAACTATCCCTGGATAGTTGCGGTTGCTGGCAGCCAAGGGAAGGGAGCGCTGCCGAGAGAGGTGGGGGACTCGCGACTGTCCGTGGCGCGACTCTATCTGTACATTGAAATGTGGTACCGGAAATTTGAGCGGTCGCACAGGCATTTCAAGTGCCTGATGAATCGGTGAACGGGGGACGGTTGGTACCGATTCGATATGAGGCACAGTACGGCTGGGGTGCTTGATTTGCTTTAATTATATACAAGGCGTCTTTGAAATCAATTGAATGTGGTGGAAGCAGTCACTTTAACTGAAGTTGATGAGGCCGCGATGGATTTGTCGCAGGCGGAATGGCGCCGGAGCTTTTGGAGCGAGTATTATTAATTCACAGAAATACCAGACAAATGTATATTTCTTAAAAAGACTTGATATCAGACCAGTTCATGGTACCCGAAACCGGCAGGCAACTGCAGGAATCCTGGTGGCGATGACGGAAACAGATTAGAAATCGTGTTGGTGCTGAAAATCTGATGTCCAGTGGCTGCTGTGGCTGATCGGGTCCGAAGTATGCAGACGAATTTCTGCCTTACCGGTCTCCTGAGCCCACCCCGTCATGTACCCCCATGACAATAATTACAAACACCGTTAACTTTCACATTCCCGAGGTTCCCGTCCTTTAAACTTGCCCATTCGCTTCGCTAATACTTCAACGCCACTTCAGTGAGTGACTCCCCATGAGTCAACTCCCTCTCCCGCACTTCACTCCCTCAACTCCCTCTCCATCCCACAACTAACCCGAACTCCACTATCCAGGGCGGGAGGGCTGGGTGCGAAACAAGATAAGGAGGGGGACCGAGGGGCTGCCTAAATAGCCGCCCTCCGCCGCCCCGCCAAAGCCCGCCAAACTCGAGGGCGCCCTCGCGGGCGGCACCTCGGAATACCGTACTTTGACTGACCCACGGTACTAGGGGTGGCCAGAAATCCCAAGGGCCGGGGTTGAGTAAACCCCAGGTTCAAACTGCACCGTTTGAATCGCCGGTGCAGCCCACCCATCGTCGCCCTTGGCAGAAACCCATTAACAGGATAGTTAACTTCATTTCTGCCTTACCGGTCTCCTGAGCCCACCCCGTCATGTACCCCCATGACAATAATTACAAACACCGTTAACTTTCACATTCCTGAGGTTCCCGTCCATTACACTTGCCCAGTCACTCTAGGGAACGCGAGGCCCCTCCGGGGCAGAAGATATGCCCAAACTGCTCATGCAGGTCGCGGGCGGTGATGGTCATCCAACCAAAGAGCCGAAAATCCCACTCAGTGGGTAAACGGAAAATATCAATGTAGGACCACAGAGCGTCTGACTTCCACCCACCCCAATCCCGGATGCGCCGCTCCGCGACCTCCAAGGCGAAGCAACTGGACGCGCCCCCACCGCGCAGGCCATGATGCGTGAAGGGCTCGTGGGCCAGGTCCGGAAAGTGCGCGAGCAGGGACGTAAACCAAGAGGCCACCACCTTGGACGAAGGGGTGGCGTCGCCGGGCAGGCGGTAGAAATGGCACGGCTGTTGGTCCGTTTGCACCCAAGCTTGATCCCGAAAACGAGTCCAGCGGCACAAAAGGGCGACGACTTCGGGAGCGCCGCGAGAAGGCCACGAGCGATAGCGCGACCAGGGCTCCTCCCCCTGGCGCAGCTTGGTCTTGCGCTCGCGAAAAACCACGACCTCCTCATCGATGCGAACGTCGTCGACCAAGATGTAATGGCCCGACTGGGCCCTGTTAAAGAAAATGTAGTCGAGGTGGGCCGCACACACCGCCCGAAGGGTGGGCCCGTCCTCGGTGGTCAGGCCGACGTCCAGGATGCGTAGAAGCAGGGACACAGGGATCGGTCGGCGATGCTGCACCGGGCTCGGGGCCGCCCGGCGCCAAGCGCGGGTGAGGATACGGGTGACCGGGTCGAAGGCCGAGAAACCCAAATGGCCCGCGACATGATGCATCATTGAAATCGCGGCCAGGTACTGGGGCAACGACCGCACGCCCACCTTGCCCTCCTCCCGAAGAAAACGAATGTATCGGTAGATCGACGCCCGCCGGGCGGGCAGCGCGACCAGGTCGTTGGCCTCGTAGAATCGCTGGAAGCGCAAGAACTTGGCCTGGAGTGTCCGACGAGTGGCGTCCGTGTAGGATGCCAGAAATTGATGATCCATCCAGCAGCGATCGTCACGGAGCAAACCGTCCAGGTCGGTGCCGTACAGGGGGTCATCCTCCGCCAGCGGCTCCAGCGGCAAGGCATCCCCCGGATGGTCCCCCGGCGGAGAGGGCGGAACGTCCGGCGGGATCACGCCTTCCTCCGATTCGGTCTCAGATGGCGCGTCGTCCGTGGGCACACATGGAACGCCCGTAGGTTCCACCGCGGAGGGGGCAGAGACGCCGGGAGAGTCGGGTCGCCGGGGAGAAAAAGGTCGGCCTGGCGGGGGATGAACATTTCCGCCCGGGCGATCGCTCGGAGCGGGTGAAACCACACCGCGCTCGGCCAGTCCGGCGCCAGCACCACCGCCTCCAGCGTCGGCCGTAAGGCGAGGAAGGACACGAGCTTCGCGAGGAGGCTCCACGGGGGATTGCACCAGGACCTGGTGCTGCTCCAATCCTGCTGGAAAGCATCCACTCCTGCCATACCAACGTCCCAGTACTGACTGTTGAAGCGGGCGCAGAGGGCATTCCGGGCGGACGCGAATCGGTCCACAGAACAGGCCCCGAAGCTGCGGGCGACCTTCCGGAATATGCGCGGATTCAGGCGGTAGTCCTCCGAGGTCCGTATACGGGAAAGCCGGTCCGGCAGTACATTCTTGGCGGAGGGAATGTACTCCGGCTCCAGGAGAATCCGGCGTGCCGTACAGACGGCCTTCAACTGGCGGAGGGGCCTAAGGAGACTGGTGGCCCGGGTAGTCATGGAAAGGATACAGTGCAAGACCACCTGGTTGTCCACCAACAAACGGACCCGCCGGGAAGTCGTCCCGGAGTACTGGCGAGGAAAGAAACTGAGCAGTGCCAAGTACACGGCCTGCATTTCACGAACATTAATGTGAATAAGGTCCCGATCAAAAAAGCCCCTCGCAAGCATGGGGGCCGGGTGACCCAAAGGCTGAAAGGTCGCTCCCCAACCCGTCAGGCTGGCATCCGTCGCCAGGGTGCCAAGCAAAGGCAACGAAGCCGGTTGGAGAGCCCGGCCGGCAAGCCTGGAAAGGTTGGTCTAGGCCAAAAGGTCCAGGCGGGCTTGGGGGGTCAAAGGAAGCCGATCCCGCCAAGAACGCTTCCCTCTCAATAACGCATAGAGACTCATCAAGAAAAAACGGGCCAACGGAAAAGCCAAATAAAGTGAGATAGCAGAGCCACAGAATTGAGCCAACTTCCATGCCACAACCACACCCGAATGGAGAATGGCACGAGCACGGGAGGCAATGGCAGCTGCCTTGTCCGGAGGCACCAGAAATTGGCACCGGGTGGTGTCAGTAATCACACCCAAATGAGTCTTCCGCTGCACCGGCTCCCACTGGCATTTTGAGTGTTTGAATTCAATCCCAAGAGCATGGAAAACCCGTTGGACCAGACTGGACCATTCCCGCAAACGGACCGGATCGGACATGGCGGCAATGAAATCGTCCAAATATGCTAAAATTAACGCGGGAACCTCCCGCGAGTACTTTAGGTAGTACTGTACAATGGAATCATTGCCCGCTAAACAGCCAAATCGAAAACGAGTTCCAGCCCCTGGACATGCATTAGGGGTCCTTAAAAAACGGACCACAACGAGCATGACATGAGTGAAATAAAAGGGGGCCAAAGAGAGCCCAAAAGGCAGCGCCCGACAAGCAAAAATCTCGCCACCCATTCGAAAGAGCAAGAAATGCTCTTGATCGGCTCGCATCCGAATGTGATGGTAAGCATTCTTCACGTCGAATCCCACCAGAAAGTCATTCTTATGCAAAAGAAATCCAAAATCCTTCAAGCGCTCGTAGCGGAGACCGACCTTCTTGAGATGGCGGTTGATCCGCCGAAGATCGATGACCAAACGGTACTTGGTCTTCCCGTTCTCCGCCGGCTTGGCCACCAAAAAGGTGCGCGAAATTCGGGCGCTGGAAGAGACCTCCGTCCGGTGGATCGCTCCTGTCCGCAGGTACTCGTCGCGCAGCTCCCGCCATGCTTGCCATTCCGCCGGGTCCCGGAGTGGGTACTCGCCTTGGTCGAACGGAGGCGGAGGGCCCCCCGGGCCCCACTGGAGCGGTGCCCCCGTATGGATCCATTGAAGCACTCGGGCGGGGGCGCCGATGTGGCGCCAGGCCGCGAGACGGCCTTGGAGGCGCGCGTAGGGGGGGGCTTCTAGGCGGTCGGCTTGGGAGGCGCTGGCGGGGTGCCGGACGTCTTGGGTTTGGCGCGCTGATGCTTGGCGCCGGTGGAAGGACCGCCGGGGGGCGGGGCTGCGGAAGCTTGGCGGTTGAGTTGCACCTGATGCTGAGCCGCCGCGGACTTCGTCGCCAACTTGAGTTGTTGATTGAGGACCTCCTTGCGGATGTGCTCGAGGGGCTCGTCGATCAATGGGTCCCAGAACCGGCGATGCACGGCGCCCAATCGTACGTTGGTCTGAAGCGCCTTCCACAGACCGTCGAGGGAGGTGCCCTTCTGCTCGCCGTGGACTTGCTGAAGTCGGATCAGGCTCTGAAGACGCGACGTGATGGTCACTTGGGCGTGGACGTACGGAAGGAGGGCCTCCCGGAATTCTGGGGGGAAGGCCGGATGCGCCACGAAGTCGATCAGCGCGGCAGTAAGGTCGAACTGCCACGCGACGTAGGGGGCCCAGTTCTGATACTCCTGGAAGTACCCGGAGTTGGCTCCCAGGGCCTGCGCGAGCTGCCCGCCTTCGGAGGTGCGGCGGACGTCGAA